ATAAGAAATAAAGATGCATTATTGCTCTAAAATTTTTTTCTTTATTAAAATGAACAGCAGGTGCGGCCGCCCTGGCCCTCCTCACTCTTGCAGGAGAGAATAAGGAGGGAGAATCTCCTCAGTTCAGCCCAAATGTGTCCCCCTGTGAGGCACCAGGCATTCCCAGTCAGAGGAAACCAGGGGCGAGGTGGCCGGCTGTTGTATGTACCAATCAGTGCGTGACAAAAAATGTTTCCTGATTGTGGAAGAAAATATAAACAGTGAAGATAACCCGGGACCCGGACCCGGGACCTTTGACTCAGTGAACCCCTTCCACCTGGTTAGACTCTGCTGCCTTCTCTGTGTTGACCCGGCCTTCCCGGGAGGGGTGAGTGCAGGAGGGGACTCTGCACCTGACCCCACCTGCCATAGTCCATCCCACTGCCAGAGGCTTAGTTGGCTGGTAGGCTTCACACCCAGCAGGCCTGTTAGCCGGGAAGGAGATCTACCCTCCTGTCTTCTGTGGATGTCCAGCCGGGGAGGGGGCGCTGCACGCCTCAATTTCATTTAACCTGGGGTTGGACGAGGATACTCTCTATTTTTTAATAGAAATTATTAAAGGTGATTTAAAAAATTGTGAATCTATTAATTCAGGATTCTTAAGTTATAAGTGACAGAACACAGCTGAATTGACTTAAATGTAAAAGTGGATTCACTGTCCCACATAGTCAGGTTGGTGGGAGTCCTGGGCAGGATCTGGGCCCTCGGGGGCGCCCTTGCACTCTGCTCTGTGCTTAGAAGAATGGCGGGGGGACGGGCAGCAGCGGTGCTCAGCCCCGGCCTGGCCTCAGCAACTGAAGAGGTTGTCACTGGGGCTGGAGTTACATTCCCACCCCGCAGCTGGGGTGAGACCAGCCCCAGGGGCTGCCAGTTGGGCGAGGAGCCTGCGGGGGGGAAAGAGGAAGGAGAGTAGATGTAAGGCGAACAGAGACAGAGGCTGGGGCTTCTACTGGCTGCCATTGCTCCTCCACAGAGAAAAAGAAGTCGCTCCTTAGAAGTAGAAGCAACAAGGCTAGACCAGAGGGCCGCTAGGCTAGACCAGAAGGCCGCAAAGGCAGAGGGACGCCAGGTCATCCTGGATCGCTGGACGCGTGTTGGAGGCTGCGTTGGGGAGAGCTCCATCATGCAGACAGCGATGCTGGACTCTGGAAAGAGGGGACCCGATCAGAGGCAGTCATGGAAGAGGTTAATTAAAATGCCACACCCTCGACTCTTTCCTCTCACTGACTCCTTGGGCTACGAAATGAAATGACGCATTGACACACAATTCAGTGAGGCCAAGTTCGTGGAGAGGAGGCTCTCAGTGGGCCCTCTGTCTGGAGAGACTCCCCACGCAGGATGGGGTGCGTGGAAATTCCACCCGCGCCATGTCCCTAGAGGCAACAGAAGTCAGAAGACAAGCTTGCTCCTGGGCAGGGGGTGACACCGTGCAAGGCACTCCCCTGCCACAGCTCACGTCGTCCCTGTGAGCACCTGCACCAACCCCAGCAGGGCCGCACCTGTCACCACGACCTCACACACCACGAAAGCCCCAGAGCCTTCTCGACTCCTTTGAGTGAAAGATGGAGGCCCAGGCACCCGGCTCAGGGACCGACGAGGACTCTGGCTACATTCAGCTCACTTTGCCAGGTCTTCTGCTGCTGTCCCCTCAGGGGCAGCTGCTGTACGCGCAGGCCAGCAGTGTCCCAGAAGAGGTCCCACCCTCCTGTCACCCTTCCTCCCGTTGCTTCTGCAGGTTCAAGAGGAAACAAGTCCCTGGCGCTGGGGCTGCCTGAGGGCTGCCCTGGGCAGTGGGAACCTCTGTGGATCCAGCAGGGAAAGGGCTGGGTTCTCCAGGAGGGGTGGCAGCGTCCTCTGGGACCCAACAGGGTGTATCCACGTGGCTTCACTAGGTGGCAGCAAGTCCTCTCCTTTTAAAGAGACTTGACGGGTGGAGGTGAGGAGCTTCTGCTGGGATACACAGCAGTGGTGCTCACAGCCAGGGCACGTGGCCAGCGTTCCCTGCGACACGCTGTGCCTGTGGCACTGGTGGCCGGAGTCACCTGCCAGGCTTTCACCTCCAGTCACACTTCTGCTTGGACCCGCGGCGCAGGGAGCGCGTCCCCCAGGCTCAGCACGCTGCAGAAGCTCCAGGGAGCCCACTTCCCCAGGCAGCTGTGAGGCCCCTCTGCCCGCCTCCTTCCCTTCCACACTCGCATCTCCTCTCTCTGCAGGACGGTGGGATCCATCGACAGACGTAAACATGTTCATCCCGTCACAATGACGCTTTCCCCGGGGGCCCTCCAGGGAGTGGCTGGTTCCAAGCCAGTCAATGATGGAAGGGTGGCTTACTAGAAGTCTGGACTCCACCTAGGGACGCAGGGTACACAGCAGTAGCGCAGATTTGCTCCCCTGAGCCTGGGTGGACTGTGGGATGGGGCAAAGCATAGGTGCTCAGCATCAAGGTTAAGGTCCCAGGAAGCCACAGTGTGGGAATCTGCCCCATGGGCACCAAAGTCACCCGGGATGGTGGCAGACGTTGGGTTCAAGGGAAGGAGCGTGCCTGGTGCTGGCTGAACCTGGGGCAGTGAGCAGGATGTGACATCACTAAGCAGAACAGGACTGGGAGCCCTGGAAGGCGTGCACAGGAGCGTGTGAGCCAGGTGCCCGTGGGCACCAGGAGTGTGCTCTCGCTCCCCTGGGGCCCGCTGTTCATGTGGGAGGGCTGCTGAGACCCCTGAAGGCTGGGACAGGCGGTGGACACAGGAGAGGCCACGAGTGGCCAATGGGGTGAGGAGCAGGTTTGCTGGGGGTCGAAGACCCGGCACAGGGAGGTCCTGGAGGAAGGGGGCACAGGAATGGAACTGGAGACAGGAAAGAGCAGCAGTGTGGCTGGCTGAGTGGAAGGGGATAGGAGGAGGCTTCGGAGCCCTGTTCAGCTCAGGCCTTCCCCCACAGGACGTGGGAGCCCCTGGAAGGCTCTGAGCTGAGGGCCGAGTGCCCACCCAGTTTGCTTCTTTGCATGTAGGTTTTGGTGACAAACAGGGACAAAAGCAGGAAAACTATTTAGGAGCTGTTGTGATCATCTGAGTGGGAGATTGAGCCACAGTAAGCAAGCACCAGTGGCTGTCAGCATGAAGTGATTGGATTCTCGCAGTGTTTTGAGACAGAATCAACTGACTTTGGTGATAATTGGACTCAGCGTGTAAGAGAAATGCCAAGGAAGACATTAATGAATAAGTCTTGTGTCCTGTGTTTAGTTCAATTTTGCAAATGTTTGTTTTCTACTCTGCGTCTCTGGCTGCGTATGAGGCACGGCACCAGCAGGATGCAGGCCTCCCTGCCAAGAGCCTGTGCTCTGGAAAGAGACGGACATGCCAATAAAGACACAGACCCACGTTAAGTCTAACGATCAAAGTGTGCCCGAGTTCTGACAGTGGGGCTGCCACTGTCACCGTGAGACTGGGATGGAAGTCATTCTGCCGGTGATGGACGGAGGAGGGTTTCCTGGGTGTTCGGAGGGGGGTGGGGCACTCCGGGAGAGGGCCCTGCAGGAGGGAGGCCCCAGGAGGGAGGCTGGAAGCACACTGGGTTGGCTGGGTGACCAGCACAGTGGGGAAGAAACGGCGCTGGGTGGAGCGGATCATGGTGGGTTTGGGGGCCCGATCCTTCCTGGACCTTGCTTGAAAGACAGCAGGGACAGGTTTTGTGCTTTGAGGCAAACCTCTCACCACATTGCCCCGGCTGGCCTCCAGCTCCTGGCTCAAGTGATCTTCTGCCTCAGCCTCCCAAGTCGATGGGTCTACAGGTGCATGGCTACACCTGGCTCAGAGAAGGTTTCCAATAGGGATTCTTGTGATCAGAATAAGTTTTATAAACTTATAAAACTTAAAAATAATAGACTCATTAAACTTATAAGCTCAGTCTGGCAGCATGTGGAAGCAGTCAGAGGAGAAGGGAGAGGTGAGAAACAGCTGGAGGTCACTGTGACCATGGCAGCCAGGGGGTGGCACCTGCCTGTAATCCCAGCACAACAGGAAGATCAGGAGTTCAGGGCCAGACTCAGCCACCTAGGGAGACCCCCGACAGGGCTGGGGATGAAGTTCAGAGGTGATCCCCAGTACCAAAAAAATAAAAAAGCTGAGAGCCTGAATGGAGTCTAGTGCAGAGAGTGGAGGAGGGACTGGGGGCTGGGGACCAAGTGCTGAAGTGAATGAGGAGGGAACAGAGTCCCGCAGGCCGGGACGCCGTCCCATCCACCAGAGCCAGGAGTCTTGGGAAAGTGAAGGCCTTGGAAGAGGAAGGAAGTGGTGGGGTGCGTCCGGTCATGTGGGCGTGGAGGGCTCCAGAGGTGGAGATGTGTGTGGAGATTTCAGAGAGCCTGGGTGGACTGTGGGACGGGGCAAAGCATAGGTGCTCAGCATCAAGGTCAAGGTCCCAGGAAGCCACAGTGTGGGAATCTGCCCCATGGGCACCAAAGTCACCCGGGATGGTGGCAGATGTTGGGTTCAAGGGAAGGAGCGTGCCTGGTGCTGGCTGAACCTGGGGCAGTGAGCAGGATGTGACATCACTAAGCAGAACAGGACTGGGAGCCCTGGAAGGCGTGCACAGGAGCGTGTGAGCCAGGTGCCCGTGGGCACCAGGAGTGTGCTCTCGCTCCCCCGGGGCCCGCTGTTCATGTGGGAGGGCTGCTGAGACCCCCGAAGGCTGGGACAGGCGGTGGACAGTGTGTGTCGGTGGTCATAGGCAAGGAGAGAAGCTCGTCTTCACCAAGGACTTGTAAAGTCACCTGCTCCAGAAACCAAGAGCTGTCTTTTCTGTTCCACCAAGACTACTGCATTAAGGTTTCCAGGGAATCACAACAGACGGTTGTACTGACCGCATAGTATTTAATATGATCAGGTCTTAAATAAGAAGACAGGAGCATAAACAATTAAAATGAAATATATAATAAATAATCATTAAGTTATAAAGTACATAGTTTATATTAAAACTAAATTCTCAGATGCAAATGTAAATACAGAAGAGCAATAATATAGAATAATAATGCTACAATTTTATACAAGAGTCCAGAGAAGACAGTTTCAGCTAAAATAGTCAAAATTCAGATTAATTTTCCTTGAAATCCAGGACCTACAGCAGAGTTTCCCCTCTGTGCCTTTCCTCTCAGAACCTTTTTCTGTTCCTACAAATGGTGTTGGGATCACGCTGAGCACTGGAGCATCAGGCTCTGCTGGAGTGGCGCTGCAAGGCTGGTCCCTGCTCCTGCAGGAGCGCCCAGAACTCGAGAGACTCACGTGGCCACAGCTCTGCAGAAAAGAGCAGCCCCTGGGGACTGAGTCCAGCGCCCTGGATGTACACAAGGAAGTGGAAACCCTCCAAGTCAATCAGTGCCCACGGATGCAGGTGTCCCGGGTCACTGTCCCCAGGTGAGCGGTGGTGTCCAGGTTCTCCTCCGTCCCTTCTGGACGGGCTTCCTGGAGGCGGCACTGCAGAGGGCAGCACTGCCTCTCCTGGCGCTGGGGCTGTGCTGAGCCTGAAGGTCGAGGTCCTCAGCCAGCCCCCCGAGAGTCCTGCTCACTTTTAGAGTGAAGAGCCTGGCCCAAAGGGCTAGGATAGATCTTTAACAGTAAACACACCAAAATAAATACATTAAATAGAACATCACAATGTCAAGAAGTCAGCAAGTATAAAGCCTGAAGCCCAAACACAGTCTGGGTCTTTCCAGCGCTCCAGGGGGGCTGCATCCCTGGCCCCTGCCAGCTCTTGGCTCTGCCCAGCAGCCTGGGTGGCACCCCGGAGGCTCAGCAGGCTGCTGTGGCCATCCCAGGCCATGCTCCCACAGTCCCTCGGATAGCATATTCTAGAGGCTTAAAAAAGTGACTCATTTCTGACGATAAAGCACTTCAAGGAGCTTTCAGTAAATGATCATGCTGGACGCACCTTTCCAATCTGAATCTGTCTGGAAAACACTTTCAAGTGGACAAGTTTTCTTCTCAGAGTGTAAAGCACTCCCACCTCCTGCTCTCGCATGCTCAGAGCCACTGAACAATAAGAAATTCTCAAATAGCTTATACCAGTCTAGCGAAAATTTTATTTTTCTAGAGTTTTTAACTTGCTATTTAAACACACTCTGCTGAAATCGATATGAAAGATCAGTTGGAGCAGATATCTTGTTTTTACGACTCTTGACCAAAAGATTGGGAAGTTTACCGGGAAGCCTGAGACAGGCCTCCGGCCACTTTGTCTCCTAGCTTTGAGTTTGTGTCAGTGACTGAATTTGTCTTCTCCAAAGCGAACACTGAGTCTCTAACATGAGAAACCTGTTCTGAAGTATATTCATCACATAAGTTTCATTTTAAAAAGAAGAAAGCAAAGATGGAGGAAGGAGACCTCTGGAGTTACTGGGTCCCTTGTAGTATGACCGCACCATCTGAGAGCCAGGAGACGGCCTCAACCCTCCATCCCAGAAGGCCACCAGTGCCTGTCCCTCTGCAGATCTCACTTGACATGTTTGCAAACCTCAAAGGCCAAGTATATTTCATAAATACATTCATAACTATAGAATTTAAATATTTTTGACAAAACTATAAAAAAGCAAGATTTTTTTGGTCCCCATCTGGTAAATCTGTCCCCTGATACATAAATAAGTTACATATTTATTTGTTAGGCACTTTGAAATAAAACGTAAACTCTTCAGATATGCATTTTTAAACATTCAGTTTACATTTCCTTAAAAGAATACAGATTTCAACTTTTCATTTTGATCCTATGCTTCTCTATGTTCAGCTTGAATGAAGGCATGTACTTTTAAGGTCTGGTCATGACAGAACCCATTCTTGTGGTAATTAACACTAAAGTTAACGGAAGATCAATAAATTCTTGAGGAGTATTTTTGGTTTTGGTTAACAATTTTAGCCTTCTCCATCAGCCAAGGACTGTCACAGTTGGGCAGTGAGATAAAGTAAAAATGCAGAAGCCATAGAAACCCATGACCTGGGAAGTCAGACTCCTGGCCCTGAAGTACTGCGTACTAATTTGGGGAATGATCCTAGCTTTGCACACTTACTGAGGTCTTTTCCCACACCAATGGACTGCACTTCTGCTCTCAGAGTACCAAGAAGTGAGTCCGACTGCTGTTGGAGTGTGTGACGTAGTGCCCAGCTCCAAGTCGGGTCTCCAGGAACCTTCTTCTGCCTCGAGTCTAGGGAAGATGCTGGTGAACCATCTGTGGAGAGAGTGTGCCGTGAGTGCTCCACCTGAGAAGCACTCGGTGAGACGCAGACCAAGGACAGCCACAGGGTGATTTAAGGAAGATACCTTTTGGAGAAGCGACTTCAGTCCTTCCAGAAATTCCCTAGGTGGTTTCTTCTCGTAGGAGTCACATGAAGGGCATGTCTAGAAATCAGGGAAAAGCAACATTCTTCCTTAAAACTCCTTCCTACTGAATAAAGTGATTATTTAAAATGTATTTTCCAGCCAGGCTTGATGGCACATGCCTGTAATCCCAGTGGGTCAGGAGGCTGAGGAAGGAGGATCATGGGTTCAAAGCCAGCCTCAGCAACTCAGCAAGGTCATAAGCAACTCAGCAAGACCCTGTCTCTAAATAAAATATTTTTAAAAACGGCTGGGGATGTGGCTCAATAGTTAAGTGCTCCCCCGGGTTCAATTCCTGGTACAAAAACAAAACAAAAATAAAAAATCTGGGAAAGTACATAGAATTGTTCTGAAAGTAACAATGGTAAAAATCACTTATAATCCTGTTCCTGGGAAAGTCTGCAATGTCTGGCATATCTCCCCCAGTGTTGTTTAAGATTTTTGTTTTTACTTTGCTTTTATGTTACACTGGTTGATAATCTGCTTTTTTCCCCTAACACATCACAAGAATTTCCTAGGTGTTACATAGTCTTCAAAAGTATTAAATATAATGGTTACTTTGTATTCCAACAAAGAATGAAATTATTACCATTTTTGGACACCTAGGTAGCTTCTAATTTTTCCCTTTGGTAAGCAATACTTCAAAAACCACCTCTGTAAATCATTTTTCATAGATATTTAGTTTATTTGATAAATTTCTAGAAGTAGAATAACTAAATTAAAGACTAATAATTTCAAGGCTTTTGTTATACATTGTAAAATAATTGCATGTCTTTTCACTTACAGTATTCTTATTATTGGGAAAATAATGATAAACAAATTCTCATTTAATTGGAAAAAAAATAAGATTTCCTTGTTTTAACATGCATTTGATGGCTGGGAGATTGAACGTAAGTCCTGCCTGCTCACACTCCTCCCTCCCTCCCTTCCTTCCTAGCTCTGGATTTACATTCTATTCTTCTTCCAGGTGTAGCATGGTATTTAAGCCCCTGGGTGCCAGTTTCATGTAGTGACAACATCTGGCTGAGACACATGAGTAAGTCATTCTGACAACTATTTGTGGCACCTGGTGAGTCTCTTAACTTCTTGAGTAGGTCTCACTCTCTTCCTCTGTAAAAGGAAGGTGCTTAACTGGATAGTTCCAAGTTCAGTGCTGAAGTGTTGGGTTTTAAAGCCACGCCTAGCTCCTTTCATTCTGAGGAAAGTTGTAAAGGGCTATTTTCACATGGCAACCTGGCCAAGCAGTCAAAGGAAATAAGAATCATTTTGATAGTGTCATTAAGATTTCACTTGAAGCACGTGGGGAATTTCTTGAGGAGGGAGACTTAATAACAAAATTTTAGAGTAACTTATTTTATGTGGTTTCCACTGGTTGAGATGAATGCTAGTTACTCATGTTCTTGAGTATTACCATTGCCCATGAGTTGGCATAAGAAGATATACACAAAAAGACTTGGGTATCTGAAAAACCAGGGATGTGGAAAGTCCCCAGCCAAGCAACGGGGTACACCTTTTTAAGTTCAATACTGACTCTGTTACTGTTCAGGATGAAAATGTTCTTTAAGAGAGAAGAGCAAAGTTTAAGATGATCTTGATCTCCTGCAGGCTGTCCCTTTTCTTGTCAGAAAGCTAGGATTCAGCTCCCATGAACAAGAGCACAAGCTATATGTGCCCATATATAACAGGGGGAAAATGCTTCTTAGTGTCTAAGTCACAGTTGGATGCTCTTCCTAAGGACTCGCCTCAGGAAGCTACATGAACATAGTCCAGCTACTAGAGACTAGCAGCAAATTCTAACTGGGTTTCTGGGCACTTTTGAGGTCTTGAAAGAAGCAAGCTACTTCTCAAAATGTATCACATGTGACAAGGTGTCACTAGAGCCCTAGAGGTTCCAGCTGTGAGAGAGAGAGAGAGAGAGAGAGAGAGAGAGAGAGAGAGAGAGAGAGAGAGAGTGTGTGTGTGTGTGCACCATGTAACAGACATATTGCATTGTAGTTAACAAATACAAATGGGATAGGTGACAAGTGACAGTCTTACTGGAATGAGTTCCTGTTCTCTGCTTGCATTTGTAGAAGGTACTCTCCTCTTCAGGTTTTTGATGAATAAACTGATCCTCGTTCCGTTGTCTCCTGGGTCGGCTGGCTTGAGTTGGCCAGCAAACTTCTGAAAGCACAGCAAAGCTGACTGCTCACAGCGTCCCTGAAAGAGAACCAATTTGCACAGACGTTAGGGAAGTCATCACAATGCTGAGAGTGACTCTCCCGGCCTCTCCTTCCACCTGTACCAGCGTGCGTAGGGTCACACTTATCTTAACAGAGCAGGAAGGGCTGAGTGCACCACCTCTGAATCGTTGGCCAGAGAAGACAGAGGTGCCTGGGTGTAAATTTCCCCTTGTGCTAGGAAGAAGGAACAGTTTCTGCCTTGCCGAGACAGGAGAGGAGAGCCTCCCTTTTCCATGGCTCTTTATTCTTCGTGCCACACTGAGGTACATACTGAGGTCTGGCTGGTAGGAGGGCTGGTGGGAGGCAGGTGGCCAGGGAGAGTTCGTTTGGTTTAAGAGCACGGCTGCTCCATTATGAGGCTCCGAGTTGCTCTGTGGCTTTGGTACATTACACTGCAGTCTGGTTTGCCAGCTGTCCCTCTGGGAGACCCACAGAGCATCTCTCAGTGGTGGGCTGTAAGCAGCTTTCCACCCTGTGCAGCGATGGCCCCAGGTCTTGCTGATAGGAGATGCACTTAGCACTGATTTTGCAGCCCACAGGTGAGTGGCTGAGTGAAAGCCCACATTTGGGAAGGGAAGTGGGTTCCTATCTCTGAGGACATATTCGAAGATTCCTATCCTTCCCGAGGCTATGCATGGCTTTTCTAAAATCCTGTTCACATCCTCGGGTAAGTTAGGGTAGGATTCCAAACCAACAAACCAATCACACTGCCGAGAACAGTATTTGAGATTTGCCCAACCGATGGGAGTAGGACCATTCCTTAGAAGACAGAATAGGGCTAAGGGCATAGCTCAGTGGCGGAGCACTTGCCTAGCAGTAGAGGCCCAGGGTCCATCACTAGCACCATAGGAAGGAAGGAAGGAGATAAAAGTAGTGTCTCCCACTATAGAACAAGGACTCAACTTGGCCAAATGACTAGAGAAGAAGCCAGAATCTTAACAATCAAACCAGAAGGGGAATGGAACTCCTTGGGAGAGCAACTCTTAAGTCCACTCCCCAAAGCACACGGATGCTGACCTAGGAAGGGCCTGTACCTGGGTCCCTTCTGTCCAGGCTACCTGTTTTCCTTTAGCCCGTGCATGCAATGCTGTTTCCCCCCAAAGTGCCACATCTTGGTCTTCCTAATGCACATGGAAGCCACAGCCTTCTATCCAGAAACCTCCAGAAAAAGGCGTGGGCAGTGCAGGACAACATTCCCTGCATCAGCTCAGGGCAGTCAGCTGGAAGCAGCCCGAGCCTGCTTTGCATTTTCCAGCCCATGTGCACACCCCACATGGATGTGGATGTTGATTAATAACACGCATCTCTAAGTCACAAACCCCCAGTTTCGCTTTGCATATGTGGCCACAAGCCGAGAACCTGCTTATCTGGTTTCCTTATACCAGGCCCGGTTGCCTTTCATCCGGCAAGGTGGTGTCCTTTCCAATTTTGCCAAAATGCTTATTTAATAGAAACTATTTATAAATGTTAATTATAGCACTTTTTTTTCCTTGAAAACCACATGTTCATGTTTGTTGAAGTTTTTTCTTTTCTCTTCTTTTTGACCACAACCGGCTTAACTTACTGGAAAAAAATAATATTCATATTTAAAGAGATAAATTTTCCAGCTGAAACTGAAAACACTAACTGCTTCATCCGTGATGATCTGAGAAACCAGCATTTCTCACAGGGGCCTGTTTTGCTGAGTTAACATTTTCATTTGTATGTTGAAACCAAATTAGGTTCCAAAGAAGTACAGGGGCCCTACGGAACCAGTGCCCCTGTGACAATATCACCAGGAATGATCAAGACCAATGGTCAAAACTTTTAACCCTAAGAAAGGCTTTCTGAGAGCCCCTGTCATTAGAAGAAGATGGTACATGGGTGCCAAGGCTGGTGCTGATGGGGCTGCGTCTCCCAGCCCTCCCGGTCCACCTGTGTGGACAGATACTGTGTTCGCTTTGTTGTCCTGTCCTGCAAGCAGCAGAGCTGTCCCTGGCAAAGTGCGGTCTAGACAACTAACCGCTGGGTCTCACCTCAGGAGCACGCCAGAGCAGCCTCAGGAAGGAAAAGAAATGAGAACCTGCCCTGCCACCTGCCCAGAGGTGTGCAGGGCAGGGAGATGGACCTAGATCCAGGCAGCCTCCGGTGCCCTGGCCTCAGGAGTCCTGGGCCAGCCCAAGTCCCTGTACAGCACCTCTTGGGGCATCCCTGCTGCTCTCCTTCGCTGGGCCTGGGTGACAGCAAAGTCCTGGGGAAGGTTTTGTTCCCTGGGCCATCAATACTGGAAAGCATGAGGAGCTCCCTGGTCCCACCTTGGTTTTGCAGACTAGAGGGAATGAAGGGAGTCAGAAGCAGGAGTAGAACCCACCCCTCTCAGGCCGGGAAGCAGTCAGGAGCTGCTTTTGAAAAAAGCTCACTTTGTTTCGCAATTGAATATTTGGAAGTATTTGCCTCCTCAGAGCCTACTTTTAGACTTATTAGTTTTTTTGTTTTTCTTCTTCTTCTTTTGCAAAGAAAGCCATGCTCATTTGTGGCAGGCAGCCTCGCTCCCTGGGAAGATCACCTCTGTCCCCCCCACAAACTGAGCTTGTATCAGGGTTTGCAACAGCAGCACCACAGACATCCTGGACCACTTTTGGCTGTCAGAGCTGTCCAATGCACTCCACTGAGCAGCGTCCTGTCCTCTAACTACCAGAGGTGGCGGCACCCTCCCTGCCAGCCCCAGTCCTGCCAACCCCAAATTTCTCTGGACAATGTCAAAGGTCCCTTGGGGGCAAAATCACCACTACTGGAGGACCCCTGGTTATTCGACTGAAGGAAGAAGGAGAGAGAGGGGGGAGAGAAACCTGGAGGGGCCAGTTAGAGATCCTTGCTGAGCACTACTACATAAGTGCACTTTTACGGCCCTATTTTCAGTAAATTTCTAAATTCTGTTACAGGCCCTGCTTTGGGGCTGGCCCTGAAAAACTTGGCCTCAACTCTCTTCTTCCTTCCTGAACTTTTCAGCCAGTGAACTTAAAGATCTCAGGTGCACACGACTCCCCTGTATCATAGAAAGCAGAGCTTGATCAGATTATCAGACAGCTCTGGTATTGCTGAGACAAAACCCGCTCTTTTAGATGTAAGATAAAAATGTCTTTCAGTGGAGCAGGGACAAGGAGGGAATGGAAGGTGCGGGACTAGGAGGTGTGGGCGCGTGTGCATGTGTGGAAACATCACCTTGATCCACTAATGTGTACAATGGATATGCACTAATAATCATAATGGAAAGATAAAAAATGAAAGTGGCTATGAAAAATTTAAACTTTAGAAATCATTCATTAACACAACATATAAAGGAATTACCCATTGGATGAGTTTAAGTTAGAAAATGGGCTATTTTCCTATTTTGCAAGTTGAAGAGTGCAGCTAGGAAACTCTGGGAAGAACAGGAATCCTAGTCAAACAAGGCGCACAAGATGCTGAAAAACGCATGTATTGATACTTAGACACTTGAATTAAGAAGTATTCCTAATTATGCTACTTTCATTTTAGATGCTACTTAGTAAAAAATGACCTAGTAAATATGAGAGTAGCTAGGTTCCGAGCTGGAGAGTGAATTTTAGAGAAAAGCAATAGTTGTGACTCATTCACTTTCTAAAGTTTTACACAGTCATTTACCATAACTGTTTTCTTTGCAATGCCTCTTAGTAAATCTGCCCCTTTGTAGTGTCCTAATTACTGGTAGCACTTTCACAGTTATCCTAATTTATGCAATTAAAGGTTGGTGACAATGAATGTCAGAAGCCAGCAGACCACACTGAAGAGGTTACCGGGAACAGACCAGTAGACACCGCTCTTGAACGAGCTGCCTGGCCGCTTCTCCCTGGGACTCGGATTTGAAGGGCTGAAGAGATGGACTAAGTTTTTGAAAATGGTCCTTTCAAAAGACCCCACCGAGGGCCAAGGTACGTGTGAATTATACTTCAAGGGAGGGCTGGGGCTTCCGCAGCGCTGTCCCTCACACGGTCCCTGTAATCTAATTCTTGCTATCTTTTTACTTATTTATTTCTAGTATATTATTTAAAGGGGAATTCCTCTCCTTCTGGGAAGAATTGTGTCTGTGTTCCCTAAATGAGATTACAGAGAAGACTGAAGAATCTCCATGCCCAAGGGCCCTGAAATGTAGCTACCTGTTCCTTGTACAGAAGCTTTCTTTTCCAGTTTTATCATTCTGTCTTACAAAACTACTTAAGAGTACTCTTAGAGATACTTGAATATAGACATTTGTTTTATAAGAAACATAATGTAGCAGTTTGTTGGTAAATCATGACTATTTGAACAAAATAGAAATAAGTATTTTACCAATTATTAAAAGCCCAGATGCATTGAAATTAAGTGTATTCCCAAATAACCATTATAATGCCTTTCTTATTGGATTAAAAACATATCACATATATTTTCAGAAATAAATTCAACAGGTCTTACCTTCACATCTTGCGGAGCTGGCAGAAGTTCAGGCTCCTAGAGAGAAAAAGAAATCAATTCCAATTTACACTTGTAAGTTGAAAGCCTGCTTGTACACTACCTACAAAATGCCATTCAACGCTGCGGGGTGCGTGGGCTCTTACCAAGTTATTCACATATTTTTTCAGCTGGTCAACTGTGTGTATAAGGTGACGCATTCTAATCATGAGGCGACGATCTTGCCCTCGGGAGCTTGAGTTATGGGCCACTGTCCCCAGAAGGATGACCATCAGACAGAGAAGCATCCTCTCCATGTGGCCAGGGTGGGGTCCCCTCGGTGCAACAGGAGGGCAGGAGCCTTCTGCTCACTTGAGTGTGACTGGGGACGGGCTGTCAGGGAGCCCTTTTATTCCCCCTCAGGGAGAGGCCAGGCCCTCCCAGTGAGCCTGGAAATCTCTCTAGAATGGATGAATGTGAGTAACTCGATTTTCTTTTCCACTGGCTAGGTATACGTGTGCATGTAATAGTGCGTGGGGGCAGGGATCGCTGGAGTGAACGAAATGTGCCCCGTCTGCACCTTACACAGGAAAAAGACAGAAATGGGTGAATTCCAATTTTCAGCTTGAACTAAGAGAGTGTGTGCTAAATGGCAGGTACTGTGATACTTCAAAGAGGTAAACAAAAACACTTTGATCTCTTTTCCTCTGCACCCCTGGCATCTGACCTGTCCCCTCTAACAGTCATAAGGGTACTTCAATAATGAGTAAAGTGGAGTGAGTACCTACTGGCAGGACTTTTTTTTAGGTAGACTATGTCTTTGACTGAAATCACCCTGTATTCCATCATAAGGGGAGGAGGGAAGACTACCTTTTAGGAAATTTTAAATAAAGGGGGTGTTTTCCTAACTTGCCGGAATATTTTAGGTTTTTATCAGGTTTGAAGGGCTAAAAATAGAATTGGCTCCCAATTCTTCATTAAGCAACAGTAATGTTGGCTTCTGACATTTTATTTAGCAATCTGATTTACAAATACCATGAGTGATTCTAATATTCTATAGAAAATGTATTCCCCCTGATCAAGATATCATTATACCATTAAAATAAGCACCCACAGGGCCGGGGTTGGGGCTCAGTGGTAGAGCGCTCGCCTGGCATGTGTGAGGCCCTGGGTGTGATCCTCAGCACCACATAAAAATACATAAATAAAATAGAAAGGTACAAAAAAGGCACCCACAAATTCTTCTATTGTCTCTCTCTTCTCTATGATGCATCAGTTAATTGAGTGACAGATGCTGATACTCGGTCTTATCCAAGTCAAACAATAGTTTAAACAGCGACATTGGCAGTGCTGAGAAATGGTGCTTTCTTGGAGGGCAGTGTCTGCCACTTCTGTTAGATGTTGTCCCCTGTGGGTGTGAGCACACAATCCTAACTGTGTCTGTGACCAGGGGGAGGCCAGCACAGGCTGCCCCTCCAGAAAAGGTTCGCCATCCCCTCTCCTCTGCCTTTCTTGTCCCTGTGACTCTACCCATTTGAGAAAGTTGAATATAATATTCTAGCCTAAGAAAGCCTTGTTCCACAATCAGGTTGGTCTTAAAACTAACCCTGGGTATAGATGTTATTTATCCACCTATTGGTCATCTAGGTTGTTACACACTTACTTGCAGCCATACTTTATTCTAGAATGTTACGTAACCAAGATAAATGGGAGTTTGTACTTCATTGGTTCTGGGGGTTGACTATGGATTTTTTTTATTCTAGAATATCTAGAATATACAGGTTTGGTGTTACAATAGATGAAAACTTTTCCAACATGATCAGGAAGTTCTTCTCATAAACATCACACTCTGTAGGGGTTCTGGGAGAACTCACTAATCCATATAGACTTGGGATCGCCGCACGGCCCCATGTCTGTGCACGCCTTCCTCATCTGCCCACGCAGACGACCGTCTCCACCAAGACTCTCCACCAGTGCTTCCCTCGGTGCTAGACGCCCACCTCCTGGGACCTCCCTGCCTCTCTCCAGTCCCTCAACTAAGGTACCAGGGATCCCAGGGCCAGTCCAGAATTTTGACCCAAGACCCAAGGGTCAGAACTTCTGCAGTACTGCCTCCCACCAAGATGTCCTTGTCCTAACCCTGGGTACCAGTGAATGTGTCACTTTACATGACAAAAGGGATGCTGCTGTGATTAAGTCAAGACTCCCAGATGGGGAGGGCTTCATGGGCTGTCCCATGAGCCAAGGTGCTCACTGTGCTCATGGAAGGAAGGAAGGAAGGAAGGAAGGAAGGAAGGAAGGAAGGAGGGAAGGAAGGAAGGAAGGAAGGAAGGAAGGAAGGAGGGAAGGAAGGAAAGAGGGAGGGAAGGAAGGAAAGAGGGAGGGAAGGAAGGAAAGAGGAAAGGATGGAAGGAAGGAAGGAGGGAAGGAAAGAGGGAAGGATGGAAGGAAGGAGAGAGGGAGGGAAGGAGGGAAGGAGGGAGGGAGGGAAGGAAGGAGGGAAGCAGGGAGGGAGGAGGGAAGGAGGGAGGGAGGAGGGAAGGAGGGAGGGAGGGAGGGAGGGAAGGAGGGAAGGAGGGAGGGAAGGAAGGAGGGAAGCAGGGAGGGAGGGAGGGAAGGAGGGAGGGAGGGAGGGAGGGAGGGAAGGAGGGAGGGAGGGAGGGAGGGAAGGAGGGAGGGAGGGAGGGAGGGAGGGAGGGGGGAGGGAGGGAGGGAGGAGGGAAGGAGGGAGGGAGGGAAGGAGGGAGGGAGGAGGGAGGGAAGGAGGGAGGGAGGAGGGAGGAGGGAGGAGGGAAGGTCAAGGTCTAGAGGAGCTGTGACAACAGGAGCAGGTGGCGGTGGCCTCTGGGAGCCGCAGGGCCAGGGGCAGACCCCAGGTTTCTGCAGGGCCAGCCCGCCCATCCCGACTCAGCCCTGCAGAGCTTCTCGTGGACCTCCGGCCCTCAGCACCATGAGGTGGTCCGTCTGTGGCGACACTTGTGGGATGGGGCTACTCCTGGAGAAGACAGGAGCCAGCCAGCAGTGTTCTGTGGGGGCTCTGGAGGGCGCAGGCCAGGGGACAAGGACAGGTGAAGAGGAGAGAGAAGCCAGACTAGTGTGGCTGCAGCATGCTGTGGGCTTCAGGGGTCAGGGCACCTGCGGACCACTGGGGGTCAGAATGCATGGGGACTTTCCAGGGGTCAGGGTACATGGGAACTACTGGGGGTCAGGGTGTGTGGGGACTATCTAGGGCCAGGTACATGGGTCTGTCCAGGGGTGAGGGTGCATGGGGACTGTCCAGGGGTCAGGCACATGAGGACTCTCCAGGGGTCGGGACACATGGGGACCACTGGGGGTCAGGGTGTGTGGGGACTGTCCAGGGATCAGGGCACCTGGGGACTACTGGGAGTCAGATGTGGGGGGACTACTGGAGTTCAGGGTGTGTGGGACTATCTAGGGCCAGGTACATGGGGACTCTTAAGGGATTAGAGTGCGTGGGGACCATCAAGGGTTCAGGTGCATGGGAACCATCAAGGGGTCAGGGTTAGTGGGGACCATTTAGGTATGTGTGGGGACCATCCAGGGGTCAGATGCATGGGTACTGTCCAGGGCTGGTGTATGGGGCTGTCCAGGAAGCCCTGAGTGTCTCAGTCAGGATGCAGCATGTTTCAAGGTCCCTTAGCCCACTTTGCCTATCATTTGAACTTGTCACCATGTTGAGATGGACCTTACATCAGGACCAGGAGGCACAGATGTAGCTGAGTCACCGAGGCTAGGAAGGCTGTTCTCTGCTTACAAATATCAAGCCTGTTGCTGTCTGTCCAGCCCCATTTCACCAGTGTCTAGTGGCTGTTTACTGTTGATGATCTGGATGCATCAGTCTGCTATAGCACCTGCTTTTCAAATGCGAGTTCGTCCTAATGGGACGAATGCCTCAAGGAATAGTTTGAGCATAATTTGAGCATAAATTGAGCATAAGCTCAAGGAATAGTTTGAGCATAAATTGAGCATGAGTTTGAACGTCGTGTTCTCTTACGTGCAGGTGGTGCAAAGAGCTTCAGGTGGCTGAACAAGCCAAGTGAGAACACACAAGCTACACACACTCCTCAGACGTGCACCGGTCACCACGGAGGCTCTGAGTGTCACAAGCCACACCCATCCACATCGCTGTCACTGTTTTCCATCCTAGAGAAGCCTCCTTAACGGCCTCTCGGCCTCTCGATGGCTCACCCACTGCAGCCCTCCTATCCCCGTCTCGGTGAGCCACGACAGGTCTTTCTCTAGGCACACACAGCAGCGTGTGTGCAGCTCTTAACCACTGAGCGTGTCCAAACGGTTAGGTTCCTGTCTTCTTTTTCAGTGTCACTGATAAAGTTTCTGATTGCCGTGCCCTAACCTCATTTTCCCCATGAGCCTGTGGTTTTTGTTGTGTGAGTTTGTACAGTGCAGTGATTTTCACAAACACACATGTCAGAATGAAGCAGAACTGACTGTGCTTCATCTGCAAGTATCAAGTTGAGCCCAATCAGCAACTGTTTATATCCAGGTAACAAGCGAGACTAGGATACAGGATTCATTTTTAAGGAAGGGGAAAAGGGGATGGGGAAGGAAGAGAAAATGAAAAGTGCACTTTCTCAGTTTTGCATGTGGCCCACCCAAGCCCAGGCTATGTGAAAACCTTTGCCCTCAGCACGGGGCACAGGGGAGTATCTTGGCATCTGTGGACCCCAGGGTCATAAATGTGTTCAGAGGTCCATGAGCCTCCCAAAATCATGTGCAGAATCTTGTGTTTCCTTTTGAAAGGAGAGAAAAAGCTTCAATTCCATCAGCTGTCAAGCAACCACCATTTTTATTTTCCAGCCTCCAGAGGCCCGAGTCACTGCAGGCCTTATTAGTTCAACTCAGGCCTCAAGGTGCATGGGAGAGGCTGAGGGGCCGAAGGAGGCCGCCCCAGAGGCCCACACATTGCTCTTCCTTCACTCCCGGTCACGAGCACCTTGCATGCGGCTGAGTTTCGCCAGGTGTGCTCTTTCCAGGACAGCAAGGCCATCGCTGTGGGGGCTTAAGAAACTTCAGTCTTCTTTCCCAAGGATTCATGGACATGCTGCAAGATTTTTTTTCCCCCTGGTCCTGGGGTTAGGACCCAAGGCCCTGAGCCACATCTCCAGCCCTCAAAAATTTCCTTTAATGGCCTGTACTTATCGATGCCTGGTCAGGGCATCGGCAGGGCCAGGGAGCTGAAGGAGAGCTTCCAGCCAGGGGCAGGGCTGAGCGAGGCAGGAAAGGCCTGGTGTCCAGCACGGGGAAGCTGCCCTGCGCCAGCCTTCCTTCCATCTCCACGCCCCACTCGCCTTTCTGCTTTCGTCTGCTCTGCCTGCCCCTGGGGAGGGTTACCTGTTCTCCATGGTGACCTCTGGGGAAGGAGGTCTGCTGAGCTTCCAGTGCTAACCATGGGCAGACAAGTGGCTCATCTCTGGGCTGTTGAACCTTGGGTGGGTGGCCATTTTTTTCCCAAGAAGAAGTTTCACTGGAATAATTCAAGGTCATTTTTC